ACCCATGCTTCCCCTGAGGGGTGATCCGGCTATGCTGATGTATTAATTTGATCTTCTGATTTGTGATATATTTTGTACCTGTTTTATGAATGGGATTCTAATGTTCATTTTATGCTATTCATTGTCATGATGTTTTCTTAACATTGGTAGTACATGTTTTTGGTTTTTTTGCAAATAAATAAGTAAAAATAAGCAACCCCCATAATCAGAATTTACTATCATTTAATTGTTTAGCTAATAAGATATCCAAGTGCTGTCAGATTTCTCATCTCAGAATGGTTGGTTACTGCCAGGATTATTTTTGTCAGGCTCCGGAAGGCTGAAAACTATACCATCAATGACAGAATATCTGACAAAAGCTTTGGAGTACACGGAAATGGACAGACTGACTGACATTTCAAAGAGAAAAATGGTGCTGATTGTACTTTATATCAGTATCATTGATGGATCAGTGGGCACCATTTATTATTTACTGGAATAAACACTGTAACTATGTATATCAAAAGAAACTTGATTTTCCAAGAGGCTCAGTACAAAAATACAAATTATTTTGTCAAAAATAAATAAAAGAAAAATATACTCTTTTTTCAGATGGCCTTTCTTTATGTTGCTGATTCTGCTCCAGGAGGAGTATAAATTTCCTGGGTCAGCTTGACCCTTCTATCTCAATTGTATGCTTGATGTTTTCCTGACAGCAAGTCATTTTTGCTTTATTTTAGCATTTGAGCCAGCTTTTAGTCACCGCTGGGCTAGCAACAATGTCTCAGCCAATTCAAGGAATTGTGCTATGAAGTATCAGCTCCGGAGTTTGGCTCCATTCTGCTTTCCTTCCCTGTATGCAGAAGCTTTGGAGGAGGCTATGCCATTTTCCTGGCAGATCTACTGCACGCAAGTGATTCTCCACAGCTGCAGGCATAATACCACTTTGTGGCTAGCTCCTGATCCAAAATGCTGTTGCACACTAGTGGCGCATTCTGGAAGGAAGGACTTCTTTACACCGTACACACAGTTAAATCGTGGGATTTTCTACCACGAGACACTGTGATCTCCATCAACCTAGGTCACGCTCACACCATACATTTAAAGTGCTATTATATCCCTTTAAGCAGTCATGGCTTCCCTTGAAGAATTCTGGGAACTGTAGTCTGTAAAGAGTGCTGAGAGTTGTTTGCTGTTGTTTAGTCGTTTAGTCATGTCCGACTCTTCGTGACCCCATGGACCAGAGCACGCCAGGCAGTCCTGTCTTCCACTGCCTCCCGCAAGTTTGGTCAAACTGAGAGTTGTTAGGAGACCCCTATTCCCCATACAGAGCTCCTATTCCAGAGTTCCCGGCGAAGAGGGATTGACTGTTAAACTACTATGATACAGTGGTACCTCGGGTTACATACGCTTCAGGTTACATATGCTTCAGGTTACAGACTCCGCTAACCCAGAAATATTACCTCAGGTTAAGAACTTTGCTTCAGGATGAGAACAGAAATTGTGCTCCAGCGGCACGGCGGCAGTGGGAGGCCCCATTAGCTACAGTGGTGCTTCAGGTTAAGAACAGTTTCAGGTTAAGAACGGACCTCTGGAACGAATTAAGTACTTAACCCGAGGTACCACTGTAATTGTATCTCTATAGGAAGCTGCCCTATGTCAAGTCAGACCACTGACCCATCTAGCTAAGTATTATCTACACTAACTGCCAAGGGTTCTCCAGAGTTTCAGGCATGGGGGGGGGGTCTTTTTCCTATCTCTACTTTGAGATGCCAGAGACTGAATCTGGGAATTTCTGCATGCACAGCAGATGCTCTACCTCTGAGCTAAAGGTCTTCCTCTTGCTTCTACTCCTACCAATTTCACTCTGATGCTTTGTCCTTTTTCAAAAGAATGTTGCAGTCCCTGTCACATAAAGTATACTGTGTCAAGAATCATAGAATTGTAGAGTTGGGAAAGACCATGAGGGTCATCTAGTCCAACCCCCTGCAGCACAGGAATCTTTTGCCCAATGTGGGGCTCAAACCCACAACCCTGAGGTCAAGAGTCATGTGTTCTACCAACTGAGCTATCCCAGAACATGACATCTTCTTCTGTGCCTTTACGTTTCTTTCTCTCTTTAGAGTATTTGGGGGGGGGGGGAGTTTGACCCTCCAGAAGTCATTGTACTCCATCCAGCTCCCATCAGTTCCTGTCAGCATGGCCAATGTTTGGTTGTTATGGAAGTTGTAGTCTAGCAACATGCTGAGTTTTCCCTGCTTTAAAACGCTTAGACACATGCAGGGGGGAAAGCACAACAGGAAGTGGGTTTGGAAAGAAGACGCCAGAGGAGAGTGTGCTTGACCCCTTCCCTGTCCACCTCTTACCTACCTTTAACTAGCACAGCCCTCCCCGCACAAGCTACTTTGCTCCCCAAGTGGTTCCAAACATGGGTTTGGAAACAGGTCATTCCTAAGAGGGAGTGTGCTGCAAGATATACTAATTAGAAACAATACTACAGTATATCCATTAAGTACAGTCTGAAACTGGCAGTTTTGCAAAATTCAAACTTAATAAAGGCAGAGCAGAGCATGCCACATACTAAATCAGCATTTGCCAACCTGATACCTCCCCTACTAAACATTTTGGACTACAACTCCCTTCAGACCAAATCAGCAGACTGGGGCTCACAGGCATCGTTGCCCAAAACAAGTGGCCACCAGGTTGGTAAAGGCTCTACTAACAAATAAATGCAGCATGAAAACAGCACTTTCAAACAAATAAATATAGCAGGGGTGGTGAACTTCAGCCCCAGGGGCAAAAGCAGTCCTCCTGTCATCTCTATGTGGCCCTTAGGACTCTCTCCAGACCATGGCCCCTTCTCAGCCATGCATACTCTACTTTGCATATTCATTGAGCATTTTTGCCTGACTGGAATGTGTCCTTGAGCTCTGTTAATGCCTCTTGCTTGCCTGTGTGAAGACATGTAAAACTAGCCAGTTGTATAAAGTCATTGCTCCTCCCACTTTTGCTTATGGCCCCACCCACCACCAATGGCATGTGGCACCCAGAAGGTTCCCATAAGGAGATGTGTTTCTTGGTCTTAAAAGGGTTCCCCTCCCCTGCAGTGTTGTGACAGAAAGATGTAAGCTGATTCTCAAACTAACGTGACACCGGAACGTTCCACTTTCCACTTTTGGAGCGCTAACTCACCAATATTTAAGATTTACACAGATCAGAACATCCCTCTCTTGCTCACATGGGCTTGTCATTTGGGGAGGAGGACAAAAGGCGGCTGGGAACAGCAAAACCTACAGCAGCAGAGAAGAGGATAAGGAGGGATTATATTTCGGGCTTAAGCATAATTTGAAGGTGGGCAGTAAAGACAGTGAAGAAGAAATCACAGAGTGATTGTGCTGGTAGAACTAACATTTTGGCCGCATTTAAATACTCTGCTTTACCCCCCTCCTCTCTTTTTTGACTGTTGTTGATAATAATTTACATCCAAAAATAAAAGCTCATAAAACTGGGGGGGGGGAGAGCAACCTTTTGCAACCCAACACTATTAGGTGTCCAGTATGGGTGAATTGCATAATGGGTCTGCTAACCCTAACAGAAAGCAGATTTAAGTTTTGCCTCCTGGAGGAATGAGTACAAAAAGGTCAAAATGCTAGTTTCTTGGGCTAAGAGGCCTATCTAATACCTCGATAGAAAGGTGGTCTGTGGTTTCTGTGTGCTTGGTGGGGAAGTGAATGTTGCTTCTGCATGCCAGGACATTGAACAGTATCCATTTATTGTGAAGGGAAGGTCACAGTGCCTTTGTATTAAAGAGGAGAGTGCAGTGGCTGCAGAGCCTTTTCAGGAAGAAAAGGGGATTCACAGGGAGTGAGAAAGAACCTGCACGGTGTGTAGAGATGCAATAAGATGAATGGTACCAATGGATGGCTGCTTGCATTTTGTGGGGAAAAGACACACACTGCTACTATACATGCGTTCAAGGCTTGATCTGTGGTTCTTTTGAACATAATGACAGAGAATGGGGCATGGAGACATAATAACTAGGAGTCATGATATGGCAAATGGGGGCTTCGTAAGGCATTATCAACAGTTCTGTGCCGAGGAACACATGAAGCACTGGTGGAGGGCAAGAGAAAGCAATGTGTGAATGATAAGGAGGAACAGGGTCTGGAGTGCTAAAGTGCATAGTGCCACTATGCTGGCACACAGGGAGATTGATGGAGAAGCACATTACAGATTAACCATGTGCTGTGGTTGTGTGGTCCATGCATTCCATTAACTGAGAAATGACGGAAAGATCATGGCTACTTAAGGAAATGTACTCTCCAAGTCCACAGTCACTCGGCCATGCATTCCATCACCGATGCACACCACTGGTTCCTAATGAATTGAGCGGTTCTCCTGATGTCCGTCTTGCTATGGGCTCCAGGAGAGAAAGAGGAGAAAGGGTAGGAAGCAGGAATATGCAAGAGAGTTACAGGACAGCATCGTGTGAGGAAGGTGCAGCGGAGAGAATAAAGCCAATAACCAGAAGTGAGGAGCGCAAGGAATGACAGAAGACAATGCTGGAGTGGAAGAGGAAGACTCGGTCTGGGCAACAACAAAGAAGCAATGCAGCATCAAGCGATGTTGTGCACCCGATAAGTGACTTTGCCTAGAGATGTTACTAGGGCTGTGTGCAAAACCAAGTGTCGGTGCGTACGCTCAGGAACAGGCTTGGTTCCTCCAAACTGGGGGAACGAAGGGGTGCCCAAAATCAACGGCAAGGAGAGGATATTGGTGTATTAACTCTGCAAGGAGTTCTTATAAAGGGTGCAGGGATGATGTTTTGGGGATGACAGGGCGAAAGGACGGCTTTGGCTTGGGGGACAAAGAAGGTGTGTGCCAGAGGCAAGGGAACCCAGTGAAGAAATGATAAGGGGGTCGTGCATGGTGATCCTGTGATGGGGGGCACTCCATCAGCAGGCGAGGAAGGGGAAAGTGGGGAGGGCGCGAGCTGGGGGCGACCCTCCTGGCCGCCTTACCTCTCTCCACCAAGCTGTCGAGGTCCCTGTCGACGCCCAGGAAGTGGCATCTCCTCCAGAGGCCGGCGTAAGTGGCGAAGAGCGGGCGGCCGCAGGGCGACTGCAGCACCCCGAGCCCCACCAGGGCCCTCCAGTTCTCCAGCGGCGGGAAGTGGCCGGTGGGCGCGGGAGCCGGAGCTGCGCCTCCTCCGCCTCGAGGGAGCCGCCGCTTGGCGCCTCGCAAGGGCAAGTGCGGCAGCGGCAGGAGGCGTCGCCGCTGCTCGGGCGAGTGGGCGCTGCCGGCGCGGCTCTCGCAGCTCTCCCGGTGGCGACGGGGGTCGGTCTCGTACCAGTGGTCGCTGAAGATGGCCGTGACGAGCAGCGCCAAGGAGCACAGGCTGAGGCACAGGCTGAGCGCGCCCACCAGCCCTCGCCCCCGGCCGCCCCTCATGGCTCGCCCCCTTCAGAGGACGCCCCGCCTGGCGTCAGAGCCCCCGCACATCGCGGGGCGGCGGCGGCGGCAGCAGCGCGGCCACCGGCGTCCGGGCGGGAGCATCGCCGGAGCACGCGCGCACAGCCCCGGCACGCGGCGGACTGGGCGGGGGGCGTCCGTCCCGCGCGTCTCGTCCACTCCCCGCGGGCGGGCGGGCGGGCCGAGCTGCACAAAGGACAGCGCGGGCACTTGCAGCTGCAGTCGGCGGGCGCCAGGGGGAGCAGCAGCAGCGCCGCCGATGCCGCCTGGACTGGACGGCGACGAAGTGCAAGGAGACGCGCGAAGGGGACGGCGGCGCTGCCGCCAGCGGAGAAGGGAAAGGGCGCACCTCTCTCCGCAGGGCAAGGGAATGGCCTCGTAGATTTCGCACTCTGGACTTAAAAGCCGCATGGAGTGGTCATGTGCACTTCCCAACTTCTTTCCAACTGCTTTCTGCCCTGCCTGCTGGTCTTCTAGATGAGCCATTGGCTTGATCCAGCTAGACTCTTCTTGTGTTCTTATGAAAGAATGAGCTCAGCTTCACTCTCTTTAGTCTTTTAGAGAAGTAAAGGTAAAGGGACCCCTGACCATTAGGTCCAGTCGTGGCCGACTCTGGGGTTGCGGCGCTCATCTCGCTTTATTGGCCGAGGGAGCGGGTGTACAGCTTCTGGGTCATGTGGCCAGCATGACTAAGCCGCTTCTGGCGAACCAGAGTAGCGCACGGAAACGCCGTTTACCTTCCCGCTGGAGTGGTACCTATTTATCTACTTGCACTTTGAGGTGCATTCGAACTGCTAGGTTAGCAGGAGCAGGGACCGAGCAACGGGAGCTCACCCCGTCGTGGGGATTCGAACCGCCAACCTTCTGATCGGCAAGTCCTAGGTTCTGTGGTTTAACCGACAGCGCCACCCGCGTCCCATGCTTTTAGAGAAAGAAAAGCCAAAAACCACAAAAGAGTTATACAGGAGCAACTAAAGCAACAAGCAAACTTAGAGTTGTGTACCTCAACACCATGGTGGCTGGTGCCAATTGGGACTGTCAGGGCAGAAGGCACGGAGGCCAGCAGCAGGTGGCGCCAGAGCCAATGTCAGACAGAGCCAACTAATCCTAGTTCTGTCCCCATTCTTCTCCTCCCTGTTGAATTATACAAGGGCAACAATGGAGGAAGAAGCTACCAGGCAAGGTCACCCTCTGGAATGATAGGAGCCAGGTAGCTGGGGACCGATTGAGGGCAGACAGAATCTGTTTGAGTAGTGCCCCATTTGCCCTATTGGAGCAACTTCCACTTTCACATTGTGAGAACTCCTGCCTAATAATAATAATACTGTAATTTATTTATACCCCGCCCATCTGGCTGGGTTTCCCCAGCTACTCTGGGCGGCTCCCAACAGAATATTAAAAGCACAATAAAACATTGAACATTAAAAATCTCCCTATAATAATATTTAATGTTAAAATGATAAACTATTACAAGCAACAGATTATGAAGTAGATAAAAGCATGTGCTATAATGCAGCAAGAGGGGGGAAACAAGGACAGAATGTGGAAGTCACATTTTAAATTGTACTGTATTAAATTTGAATTAATTTGAATGAATCTGTTAAATTTTTTGAAAATCAATAAAAATTAACTGGCCAAAACAAAAACAAAAAAAAGTTCACCTAAGTCACCAAGGCAATAAGTGATATGCAGCAAAAGCACCAATTACATCAAAAGACTATATTAAGCAAAGTACATTCAGTAATATAGGCAGGACCAAATGATTGGATATATACATAAAGAAGCACAGAGGCTTAAGTGCAGCAATGCAGCATTAATGGAGCAAAAATGCAGCTCCAGTATTTTTATTTTTATTTTCATAGCAGGCGTGATGATGTTATCTACTGGAACAGTACTTGCCAGTGACGCTAAGCTTGGGAAATTGGAGGACAGGTCTGATTTGGCACATGCTCCCTCTGCTGAGTAGGTTGGCTCAAACAGTGACTGGCCCAATGTCACATAGTGAACTTCATGGCTGATTAGGTATATTAACCCAGGTCTCACCAGGCAAAGCTCATAATGATAACCACTACATCAGCCTTTGCCAAAACATGACTGTATTATTATCAGCTGACTTGCTGCCCTTTGGGGATATATGGATCAACACGGCCACCTTCATTTTTGAACTTTCTTTGGGAGTTTGGCAGTAGACTGTCCATGGAAGCTATCATAATAAATACCTGCACTTCAACATTTACCACTGCACCAACCTGGTGTTCGCCATATATCTCAAAATACAACTCCCATCAGGCCATAACTGGCTGGGGCTCATGGGAGCTACAGTTTGCGATATATGGAGAACACCAGGTTGGTGCAGTGTTGCTCTGAGTTACAAAAAGTAACACACACACACACACAAGGCCAGCCCAATACATTTTGGCACATAAGGCAGACCCCAAGATGGTGTCCCCCTCCCTGCTAGGGAAGAAGGGGGTGCCAGGTGAGGGAGGATCTGTCAGCAGCTCGCCCTACACTCAAGTAGGACCCTGCAGAGACACATGCCCGACTGGCATGTTCTTTCTCTCCTGGTTGATCGTTCGGGAGCTTCAAAAGCTTTCTTCTGCCAGAACATCATAGTGACCAATGCCAACAGACATCGGCACACTTAGGAATCCGCAGAGTGTTTGCAGTTTGCGTAACAGACCTCAGCAACTCAGCATTTTGGCTAATCTACTTTATTTACATATAAACACACACGGAGCACTGCAACATGGCTCCCTCTCTCTCTAGCATCAGACAGCAAAGAGAAAGAACAAAGGACAATAGTTCCACTTCATGGAACACAGTAACACAAACATCCTGTCTCCGTCACTTCCCACTCTGTGGAGTCAAAACATACACCGCCATGTGAAAGACAACAATCCCATGACTGAAATCACGGAGCAGGAATTCTAACAGGATCTACATCAAGAACAAAGGTAAACAGCTAAAGGAGATAGCCAAAGGACTGTCACATGTAGGATGGAGCAAACTTGTTTTCCCCCCTCCTGCTCCAAAGAGTAGGACCCAAACCAATGGCTTCAAGTAACAAGAAAGGAGATTCTGACTAAACACCAGAAATAATTTCCTGACAGTAAGAGTTGTTTGACAGTGGAACAGACTCCCATTAGAGGTGGTGGACTCTCCTCCCTTGGAGGTTTTTAAGCAGAGGTTGAATGGCGATTTGTCATGTGTGAGGTGGCTGAGATTTCTGCATTGCAGTAGGGACTAGATGGCCCTCAGGGTTCCTTCCAACTTTACGATTCTATAAAAGATTGACATTGGGATCTGCTGCCCCCGTGGATCCGGCTGCCTGAGGCGGTTGCCTCACCTGCCTCATGAGTGGGCCGGCCGTGCATACACATATGGGGGGGGGACAGTCGTTTATTGGTTTGTTTTGCTTTTGTTCTTGTTTTTATTATGTATTTTTATTCTCTATAAGAACTTACCTGGACCCTGAGATCATCCTCTGAGGCCCTTCTTCATGTGCCTTCTCCAGGAGACGTTCAGAAAGTGGCAACACGTGAACGGGGCCTTTTCTTCAGTGGCTCCCCATTTGTGGAATGCTCTCCCCAGGGAGGCTCACCCAGCGCCTTCATTATACACCTTTATCCACCAGGCGAAAACATTCCTCTTCTACCAGGCCTTGGGCTGCTTTGACATCTGATGCCCTTTTAAATGCGCTGTGGGAGGGGGGAATTTACTGGTTTGCCGTTGTTCTTATATTTATTATGTATTTTGTGTTTTTTTTATCTTGTGATCTTATGTTGCCCCAAGATCTACGGATGAAGAGCGGCATACAAATTTAATAAATGATAATAATGATATTCTGTATCTTTATGCTGTGGACCACCCTGAGAGCATCGCATGAAGATTTAATTAATAATAAATACTGTAATAATATCACATTGAAGCCAGAATCGAGCTAAAACAGAGCAAAACCTGCAAATCAATAAATACCTGCTGAAACTCCCACTGCCTGCACAACTGCCTCCTCTTGCCACCTTCCCGAATGGAGGCACAAGCCTACCTGCCTCTCCCCGCAAGCTCAAGCTCGCACTGTGGCGCGCAGCCGTTAACAGCCGCCTTTAGCTAAGCTCCGCCCCTCCGAGCGTGCGGGGAGGGGCCGCGAGCCTCACCGGCTCCTCCTCCTCCTCCTGGGCTCCTCCCTCTCGCAAGCGGTACGGCCGGGCTGCTGAGGGGACCTGCGCGCGTGCGCAGACGGCGGCTCCGGGCGCCATGTTGGCTGAGCAGGCAGGGGGGAGGCGTCGTCGTTGGCGGCGGTGATCGCTCCGGGTCTTTTTCTCTCCCTCTCCCTCTTCCTCCTCCTCCTCCCCCCCCCGACGTCGCCCACCTGCTGGCCCTCCTCCCGCCCGCCCCCTCCTCTCCGTCGCCGCGCACCTCGCCTTCCCCCCCGGTGGCTGCCGCTGCTGCGTCGGAGCGGGGCGAGGGGGCCGCTCCCTGCTCCCGGGGGCGGCGCACCATGAGCGCCGGCGGGGGGCGGGTGTGCGACCTGTCCCGCAGGAACCCCCAGGAGGACTTCGAGCTCATCCAGCGCATCGGCAGCGGCACCTACGGCGACGTCTACAAGGTACCCGCCTCGCCTTCTCCGGGGCATCCCGCAGAGCCCCTTTCTCCGCGCCCCCTTGCAAAAGCTGACCCTTCCCCCCGCCCCTTTCCACTTTCTTGGGGGGGTGTCTTTTAGCAGGACCCCCTTCCTCTCTTTGATGGTTGCTTGGCCTGCCCGCCCCATACCCGAGTCTCAGCAGCCCCTCTCCCAAATCCACACATACCCCAGTGTCAAACTCACCCCCGTTATTCTTCCCCTTTGATGTACATCCCATTATTCCCGGATCTGGGTCTCTCCCTCCCTTGTGGGTGGAATTTGGGGCGCCACTTCCCCACTTTGCTCCCTCCTGGCTCTTTTGGGGGTGCCTTGGAGGTTTGGGAGGGGGGGTGTCACCTGCAACCATAGATTTCCTTCTCTCTCTCTGACTTGTCATTGTGACACCAGCATACCTCT